TCCGCCGTCTAAGCAGAGCCGGGCCTTTGTCAAAGTATTTACGCCAAGAGTTACTTTTGTCATATTGAGCTATGGCATCCTTGCATAGTATGTTCCCTACTATATTCTAATTAAGGGTATATATAAATGCGGACATTCCAATCTAACATTTCAACAGCCACAGCGTTTCGTTTGATCAGCTGATGCCGATTTTCCTCAGTACACCAATCTCGGACGTCAAAGCCGAGCTCCCTTTCAAATTTAATGGAGGGATGGCCATGTCAACAAAGAAGATCGGATTCATGCTTGCGGTGCAAGGGTTTTATTCGATGCTAGCTCAACTTTGGTTCTTCCCTTATGTTGTCGGCTATTTCGGAACCCTTTCTACCTATCGTTTCGTCCTCTGTATCTGGCCGGCACTATATTTGGTTGTCCCTTACCTGGTGCTGCTTCCTGGCGGACTTCAGATACCCGCGGTTTATGCAGTGTTGATTGCCAAGATAACACTGCATGTGATTGCTTTCCCTTCAACGAACATCTTACTCGCTAACTCGGCCCCCTGTACAACGGTGCTGGGTGCTATTAATGGCGTTGCAGCTTCGACCGCCAGTCTGAGTCGCGCATTTGGACCTACTGTGACAGGCTATTTACATTCGAAGGGGCTTGAGTGGGGCTACTCCGGTCTTTCTTGGTGGGCTTGTGGTATCGTCTGCTTCTTTGGGGCTGTCGAGAGCTTTTGGATCGGAGAAGACGAACGAAGGGAAACCATTCGATCCGAAAAGATCTGCACAGATGAGTGTGACGATGGTCTCTATGACGAGCGAGAAGCATTCCTCCCTAGAGAGTCCTCTGTGGAACACCTTACATCGCTACTTGTTCGAGCCTCCGGGAATAGCCGACTGAAACATGAGTGCATTGCGAATTCGCAGTCAAGTCTCGATGATATCGAGACACTCAACCTTGATTTGGATGCCTCCAAATCGCCATATTCCAGGGGAACAATTATTTAAGTTTTCCGTCCTTTTATTTTGCCCCCTTCAGCCTTTTTAGATGACTGGTTCATTGGATTCATGGTTTTTCTTCTACTACTTTATAATAAACGAATTTCTTACTCTAGTCTATCCATGCGAACAAAACATAGAACAAAGCCGCCCAACTTTGTTGTGTTCATATTGTTGTCTCAACTACATTTGAATTTTTCCTTGCCTTTCTATCTGTTTATTTGCTCGGTCTTCGGTCTATGTTCCAGCCTACGCATGTTTCCTGGAGTCATTGGCGTTGAAACTAGGAGGGTAATCCACGCAAGTGGAATTGTTTGTCTAATCTCTTTTCTTATCTATCGGTGTCCTTTTTTACCCCAATCGCCCAAATTTATTCTCTGTTGGTCATCAGGGCCTCTTTAACTACTATTGTGATGGCTTTGTACTATCTTTCGGTTTATTTCCAGGTCTCCCTAGTACTGTTTTACATTCTTCTCGACATGAACAGGAATTTCGGTTACGTAGTAGATGGATATGGATATGATATCTGAGAGATTATGGATCTACGGGTTACAAGGTTTGGTTTCCCTTCAGGACAAATTTTCGTTTCCATTCATCTCTGCTGCAACGGTTCTCCCACAGCGATGTGACTTTTCATGACTTGCATTACTTGCATATCATGTCAGTACATGATTTCTAACTTTTGAATTATAAGTACTTTTTATTTTTTTCTCAAGTGTCATTCCTTCAACCTAAGGAATGGGCGATTCGTTGCAGTGCCATTTGGACAACTTTTAGAATACCAAACCATTCTCTGCCATATCCTTGCCTTCATTTGCTCTCGTTTTAATTGTCTATTTACTTCACACAAGACTTTTGGGCAGTCAGAGGACGATTTTCGATACTCAACATGACACGTGACACTTCGAGCCCGGCTCGCCACCCAAGGAATTGCGGCCCAAAGAAGCGACATCTTCCAATTGAAAAAACGACCCCTTTCACCATAGAGGGTGACAAAAGGCACGAAAGGCCAGAAGGGCCCCTCGCCCTTGCGGGGAGAGGGGGAAAATACTCATGCCCAACCCTCCCCCTTTTCTAGTGCCCTTATGGTCTCCGAAGTCTTCATTTTTCCGGGAAATATTTGGGGCCTCTCCAAGACATTCGCAACTCCAGAACCAGGGATAGGATAGAGGCAGCCTCCGGGACAACGGGTTTGTTTTCCGAAGCAGAGGTAAGGCTTCACCTTGACTTTACCCCTGCTCCCGGCGCTTTGTTGTTTTTAGCTTTTTCGCTTTCCATCTGTGCAGTAGTTTTGGTCACTATAAGGTGAATGTCCATGCATACTAGCGTGACAGGGAAGACAAGAAAGGTACTGTACATCATGGTGCAGCTTGTGCATCCCACATGCTGCTTGATCATGAGGCTGAGCACCACTTAGTAAGGCTCCATTCCTTCCCTTTCCTTTCCTCTTGATTCGCTGACAGTCTGTGTTTGGATACCTTGACACAGCTGGAGCTAATCTCCAATGTCAAAGCGACATCACTTCTCAACACCAGCGCAGCAGAGCAGAGGTCAGCTGGATTGTCACCTTAGTCAAATGCAGTCTAAATCCACGCAAACGTGCACGAAAATTCCTGCATATTTTACGATAAACACATGGCTTCGCAATGAGATGCATCGAGATCTCTTGGGAATTGGCATTGACCTCGTTAAATCCGGGTTTACCACAAATGTGAGGGTTCTTTCATGTATGCATAATATACTCATTGACACGAGAAAAGCCCTCTACAAATCTTGGCAATGGTTGCCTTCTTTTTACTTTTTTTTCTCCTCTGGACTTTCCTTCCCTAGACAAAGCTCCATAGCCCAATATGCAGGGCAGTTTGGGTATGAAGGGCAACCAGTTTGGTTGGCGATACTGGAGGAATTGCACTGGAAAAGGAAGAGCAACTCTTCCATATTTTAGGTTTTGTTACGATCTTTTAATATTTAGTTCCTGGTATATTTCAACATTCGCCCGTCTCTCTTTTGCAGAGTTCTAACGATGTAATCAGATGCTTATTGGATTTAGGATTTGCCTGATCAAGACCAATATCTCATTTAGCCCCTCACTTCCACCGGATCTTGGCCTAGTTTGCCTGAAATCGGTTGAAGTTGAAATACGCACCGTGGATCTATAAAGCCTACTATCTGGGGTAAGAAACTGTAATGCGGGCCATACGGGCTATACGGAACATGGTATCCGGGGGGTGAAAATATCGCAATTGACATGGCAAGAATAACTCTCCCTAGGAAATGCCACGAAAAGAGCCCCGGCAAAAATTACCGATTGCTTGCCCGTATTACATGAAGTGAACGATAATTTTATGTTGGTTGGGAATCTAAATGGCAACAATTGCCATCGGTGGCCGCAGGCGGTAAACCCATGAATAATTATTTTCCAATTAGGACAAGGACGGCCATAGGTTGCTTTGAATGGCTGCATTCATCTGGACCGCGGCCATACAATATCGATTTCAACAACAAAGAAACTTGATTTCCACCTCGGATCAGACCTCCTTCCGTGGACCTTCTGGTTCATCCAGTCACAAAATTGCCCGCTTTCTTGCAGTACCTGGATTTTTGCGACATGCGACAACATCAATTTGAAATTGCGGGTGACTTGGATGAAGTGTGGTTACTCCGGGGCGTCAGATTGGAACTGAATACCAACCCTCTATGGCTCATAGGAATGGAATTCATTCATGGCTCATGGCCATTGTTGCTGGAAAATATGTTACCATTGCGAACCAATGCTCAACTGGCAGCCATCTGGCTCGAAACCTTTCCATGGAATGAAAACTTTTTCCTTCTCTCCCATTGAAAACTCGAGAATACTACCTATGGTTATTACAGGGAGCATTTCTGACCAGAAGTCAAACATTGCCAATGGGAACCACACAGGAGACAGCCGCGCACCATTCCGAGTGTGATATTTTATGAACACTTGACTCGACGGCTATCCTCCCGTGCTTTTCTCCCACCCCTTACATGAAATTCATACATACACGGGTAGCGGGGTTCGGTGAAGTTTATTAACTTAAGGAGCAAATTCCGACTGATGTTCGTCAAGCTGACTGGTGTTCTGACTGACCAACTTCCGGCGACTGTGGGACAAAGTAAGTTAGTATTTAGACGCCCCATAAGATGACGCAGCCGTTGCGCTGAACCCGACAAACATAGTTAGCAGGGTTATTTGATCTTGAACACTTGTGCGGCCCATCCCTAATCTCCGCTCATTATCTCCGCATCATCCTCGCTTCTTTGCTGCGGGTCACAGTTTGATTCTCCCTACGTTGGCTCTATTTGAATGAGCGTTCCTTAGGTTCCCAAATGTGGGGAATTGGCTCCATTCCGACGTTGCATGAAACAGTACTTACTATCGCATCACACTATCTATCATTTGGACCCCCCAACAACGGCTTTGCGCAATTCCATTCAGCTGGCTTTTGCTCAAACGTTGTCTCCTGGAACATACATTTATGTACTCTTTCCCGTTTCTTAGATCATAAACCACTATGTCCAGTTGCATTCAAATGCTGGGGCCAAATTACCAACCATACGATCCTCCCGATGGAAAACAAGAGAAGGGGGGTAACTTCGCGGGACCGAACAAATATCGTTAGGTCACGAGGATTTATTTGAATAAACACCTCCAACTCCATTTGTGATCATCCTTATCTGAAAGCTATGATGTCGTTTTTTGGTTATGCCAAGCCTGGCGCCATAATAGTCAGCCTACCTCTTGTGGCAGCAAAGTGGTTAGATTTCGATTGATCTACTCTGCTCTGCTATATCAAAGAGGAAATCATCACACCGCCTGAATCTCAATGAGCGTGGTCATCGTGTGTTCTTGGCTCAAAATCCATTTCCGGCGATTTCCACATCCAATTCCACCCCGCTACCATCCGGCTCTCTCTCCTCGTCCCGCAGCGTTTCAATTTGTAACCGGTGTCGTCTGCAGAAAAGCTGCGGCGATCAGAATCTTCCCCGCTGTCAACCATGCAAAAAAAACCCCGCGTCACTGCGTGTGTGTTGACCCCACTACGAAGCTGGCGATACCCGGTTTTTCTTAGAGTCCCGCTTGGCATACTTTGGAAATTGCTCGTCGACGATGGCATAGATTTCAGATCTCCGGAGCCGTATGAGGGAGGAGATGTAATAACCGAATTAATTGAAGGCAAATCCGTCGCATTCTTCACGGAAATCAGTTCTCAAACTCGATGCAAGCGTAGTGCAAATCCCGCTTACTGAAAATACGACAAGCTAGAAAATAGTAATTGTGGCCGGAAGGGATTCGAATGCCAAAGTCAAGAGCGAAATGAAAGGGAAGATGAATTGGTATCTAGAGCGCCCTCAAAACCAGATCAAGACGACAACTCGAAGCTTGACGTGGATAGCAAATGCCAACCTGATGCAACCAAACATCGGCTCGATAATCTGGTATCGAACGTTGGCATGGCATCGGTTCAAGTTGCTTCAGATCCGAAATATCTTGGATCCACCTTTGAAATCTCATTTGCACGGGTCGTTTTCTCAGCAGTTGGAAACTCCTTTTCTACCAGTTCAACCGAACGCGGGGGTTTGAGATCCGCCGAACGCCAGACAGGAGGAACATTAGCAAGACCCGATAGCTCGAGTTCTATGTGTGATTCCATTTTTGGATTGCAGGAAAGGCCGATAATGAAGCCAAAACTTTTCCAGGCTAAGTGGTCGCAAAACAGCTTGTGACTTTATATTTTGAACATGCGAACCTGCAGACTCCAATATTGCATAGAGGCGAGTTCATGGAAGTTTTTCATCGGCTATATTCAATTGACCAAGAGATACGATTTTCTCGGGACCTTTACCTTCTTAATGTCGTGTGCGCTGTTAGCGTAGGTATAATTTTCATTATCAATAGTGACGTCCAAGGCTATGATGAGGAACGCCAGAATAGCCACAATAGATCCTTTGCATCCTATCCCCAGAAGAGACAGAACTAATTTTTCCAAGATTATCAACCAGAGGAATACCACGCTTCCGCTATCGCATATTTGGAGGCTTTTCTTAGGTCATAGCAAAGCTCTAGCGGCTTCGGTGGCGTTGAGAAATTGTAGGTAGTGTTACTTTTTGCGAGCTTCGCCTTGCCACGACCTGTCACGCCCGGCCTGTTGTATATAATAGGTGTTGCAGTACGCCTTGCGATTGACCTTGAGCTGCATTATGAGGATGGAACTGGAATTGATTCTATCGGTGAGCAGGGTAAGCAGCGGATAAAATTAAATTTAATATTGCCCAGGACGACAAATCCGCAGAAGACTATAAAAGAAGATGGGAGATCGGCTCTCAAGTGCATGGGAGGCGGGAATGGTTTCGGGATCTCAGTCGCCGATTGTTGTGGTGTACCTACAGCCTTGACCGGTTGGTCAGCATATTTGTTGGACGCCCTTTTGATCGCTGACCAAGTCATCACAACCGATATCCCGGTTCCAGCCCTACCATGACGAATGCTGAGGATACAGAGGATGAGGATGATATTCACCTTAATGTTGCGGAGGCCGGGCATCAGGTTAGAAAGCTATATTGTCATCTGCATCGGCCTAGGTTGACTGCGCCTCATCTTTTCATGGCGGGTTAGTTTTACTATTTCTTGTGTTCACTCTTTGGTTGAGCAAGCTCTTGGGTATTGTGCTGACACAGAAATAGGGATATCATTTCTGAATGCGATTTGGCATTCACCTGTTGTTCGACGCCGGCTGGCATGTGAAATATCTTCCTTGTTCAAGTCGGCCTATTCTGTACTGACGAATCTTGACAAAAAGATCTTAGATGATGTCGTCTTCACTGTTCTCGCCACGACATCTGTCCTGGGTGATCTTAGAGAAATGCCTCCCTGCAGAAGCCTGTCGGGATGCTTTTGAACGGATGAGTAAAGCAACTGTTCAAATGTGTCTTTCTACGACCGGATTTGGCTCAGATGCTGCTTTGCTTGGAGCAACTAGGCTGAGAGCTGCTGGAGAGCCTATTTCACCCAATATTGCTATTGAAACGGTGCAAATTTATGAAGAACACAGTTCTCATCCATGTCCATGAGAGCACAGCAGCAGGGAGAACAACATCGTCAGCTACAACCTACCCATTCCCGGTCACAATACGACATGAAACTTCAGGACTGTTTTCCTAAAGAATTGATGAATGAATATTGCCACCATCCATCGTCTCAATACGGCAGTGTCAGCAACCACTTACCACAGCACTCTATATTCACGAACCATTACCATTCCCTGAAATTCCGAACCAGCAGCCCTATTCAACCTCGAAAGTCAACTATGACGATGCAGATTTTCGACAGAGCAAGTAAACTCTCACCGCTATAAACGCAGCTTCACCAGCGTCAGGGCCAACACCAATACCGCTACCTGCGTCCCCAGCAGCAAGAATATTCCTGCTCAAACAAAACACCACGCCTGCAGCATCTCCTCAAAAACAAACACCGGCCCTTTAACGTCCCAGCCCTCGCACAACGGTGGCCGGGAATACCTCTCCAACAGCAAATTCCTACACAAGTTTGCCGACCACATTTGACGCACGCTGCCTCAACCTGCCCCGATGCTAGCATCACCCATAACCGATAGCAATGCCGGGAGCAAGAATAACAACAATAACCTCGACGACACTACATTGCTGGTAGTGGGTCAGACGGAATGCGAATGAGACTAACATCAGCAGAAGTATTGAGGGGGATAGATGATATGGTGATTAAATTTACTTTATATCTATCTTGTCTTTGTTATCCTCGTTCCTTGGATGTTTGATGAGTAGCTGTTCAATACATTCCCGCTTTTGTATATATGTGTTTATGCCAGTACTTTTACAATCTTTTTTTATGGCCTTCTCATCTTATCATGTGTTGCTATTTGGTAGTCAATTTTGTATTATGGCGACGATTTTGTATGCAAAATTTAGAAATTTTCTCAAATGTTAGTACTCGCTTTTGCTTTATCCAGGTCACAACTGATATTTCAAGCCTTTCGAATCACAGGCAATATGCATTTAAAGCCCGGTTCCCCCGCCTCCCAATGGGCAAGTTACGGAGGGATTGCAAACGTCAGTGTGCAAAGCAGAGCAAATATGTTGATGCTGCTCAAGTCTAAATTTCCAATGAATAGTTTGTGGATATGTCGAAAATGCAAATTAGGAGCTTCACAATGTCCTGTACAGACAGTCCTGTTTTTTTATTCCCAGGCCCCACTTGGCTAAACACACTGTTGGCCGCTAAGCCGCCTTAGACACTCGAGTTGGGAGAGAGCACATGGCGGGTATTTTTGTGACAATGGGATCGTCAGGTTCGTCAAATCGCTTAATCAATATCGGAACAGTCCGGGAAGAGAATATTTCGGCATACATTCATACATGGCAACAGCCTGCATGATGATGGGATACTCTGGCGATGCGGTGCGTTTATCTCTTTTGCCAGTCTCGGCTTCCCGCTACCAACAAAGCGTCCAAATTGACGGGTCATGTTGGAAAATGTTTGAACCTAATGTGTGAATGCGCTGTAAGGCAAGATGAGATTGTAAAAGGTCGAAGTTGGAAAAGGAGGATTGTGCTTCTACGTTGACATCTGTCGATGCAAATTGACGGATCCCATCATGATAATATTGCATTGCCTTGGTACATTAATTAATTAAGCATGTGATAAGTTAACCTAACTGGTGGATTCAATGAGCAAAGATTATAAAAACAAATATGTATCCGTCCTTAGCAACCACATGGGGTCTTAAGGCTATGTCCATGCCTGTTGGGTAAACAACTAAGTTAGTAGTTAGGGCTAGCTGAATCTGGGGCTGGGGAAACCCGTCGCCGAAGAAAAAAGGAATGAAAACATCAACAACAAAGACAACCTCGGAACACATGGAGGATAGTGAGTTATCCCATAACAAAATCTTCATTTATCCTCCCTCACCAGCCACCCTTCTACCTCTGCCAAAAGTAAGCCGATCAAGACTTGTGTCACTCGAAGGCTTCTCTTAACCGTCGTCTCTCCCAACCGCTAGCCACATCCCTCAGTTCTCTCCCAGGAACGAGGCAATCTTCAGGTACAGCAGTTTTTCTCCGAACCGTCTGAGGACGATGCAAAATTCCTCTTCCTCACATCGCGTCTCTCCCTGGAGTAGCTTCCGTGCACGCTCTGCATTATTGGACTGAGAGTGGCTGTTGCTGCGAGTACTGCTACCTGACAAGCCCAACCAGCCTCAGATATCGTGCCAAAGACAAACCCAACCGGTAAAGTCGCCCAATTCTTGTCCACACACACACCTGGGTCTGCCCGTGTCTTCGTCGTTGAATCTGTCTTTGCAGTAGCTCTGTTTCTCTCTGCCTTCCCATTTATTTTGCCTCACTTATTGCTCCCTGGTCTGCTGGACCACTCAGTTGTTGGACCGACGGGAGATCTCTCCGTTTGTGTGACGTGCTGGCATCCTTGCCATCTGGTCGCGGAGGAAAATTAAAAATAAACGAAAAGTCTGCATTTATCCGCTTCGGAATGACACTGGCTAATCATCCTTGTGGTTCTTCCAGTCAGCTACAAATTGTGCGCCATCAATCAATAATTGTCCCTCTCGCCTTGTGATTCAAACCAGTCCTGTACACTGAAATTCGGTACCCGAGGATGCCCCTATATTATATCCATCGTTTCATATAACTAGTCATCTTTTGAGTGTGGGATTGGGCGCCCGTTCTATATCACAAACAATACGTTTACTACGTGGTCATCCTTCAACTACTATTTCATTTTGCTCCTGTAGGAAGTTATCCTTCAAATAACGATGCGCACATCTGTTCCCAGTGATCAATGATAAACGCGGCCTCTCCTACATTTTGCTGTCCAACCCAGACAGTTGAACACAATCACCCGGAAACTCCTTCCTCCTATCGTGCCTGTCAGGTACGGATGGGACTGTGAGAATGGTGAAGGCGGACATAAAGAAGGATTACTATGCCGATCTAGGCCTTGACCCGAAAGCTGAAGATGATGAGATACGAAAAAAGTACAGGAAGTTAGGTGGGACATTCCCCCTTCCCCACAGTGTTTATGCTGCATGATCAGGTCGTTACTAATAAAATTCCACGCCTTCTTATAGCCTTAAAATTCCATCCGGATAGGAATCCAGGGAAAGAACTCGAATTTAATGCCAAATTCCAGGCCATCCAAGCTGCATATGAAATCCTTATAGATCCTAAAGAGAGATTAAAATACGACACGAGCAGGCTCCGGGCTGGATATGGTAAGTGCTATGGGCCGCCCAGAGCAAGTGCACCTCCTCGGCCGCAAAATACACAGTCAAACCACCCTCAACCTCGACGAGCACCCACGCCGGCTAACCACACTGGAGCCACCCCAAACCCTACAGGTCAATCTAGGGGAACGCCAACACCTGCTGCGCAGCCGCGAAGACCTAGTGAACCAAATGCCCAACACCACCCTCAAAGCTTTCCACACCCCGGCTCCTATCCCGCACCTCCTTCTGCCGGAGCACAGAAATACACAAGTTACGCGAAAGCAACTTCGCAAAAATGGGACAAGATCTACGAGGATACGCGAACCAGGGCGGATGCATTCCGTGGATTTAGGGGAATGAAACCGAACGTCAACACAGGTGGATGGTCAGGGTTCGATCCAAGGACAGGCCGATCCAACCAATCAGGATCAACTCCGCAACCCTCTCAACGCCCTCAATCCGCATATGAGGCATTTTTCAATGCCCCAAAGGCATCTCCGCAACGTGCACAAGCAAAGAAAAGACAAGGATTTGCTCCCGGAACTCCAGGGGGAGATGAGCCAATGGCGCAGAATACGTCAGCCTACGCCAGTTATAATAGGGACCGGACTTCTTATTTTCAGTCTCAATTTGAGTCCGCGCCTGCCCCGACGGCAAAGAAGTGGCCGCCTCAGGAAGAATCGACAAATAATAATAGTACCATTCCAAATCTCCAGAGAACTAGCAGTAAATATGCAACTGCTGGTGGGGAGAAAACATATGTATCGAGTGCCGGAGTTGGGCGATCTTCTAGTTCTAGGAATTCGCCTTTTACTGAATCTGATTCTCGGCCCCGTACCAACCCACCAAGTCCAACCTCTCCCCGACCTAATCGTGGAAGGCATCACAGTGCCAGCCCGAAGTTGAAACCGAACCGCAACCGCAACCGGACCATTTCGTCTTCTCCGTCACCAAGCGATTCGGAGGAGGTTGATATATCATCCAGACCGAAACGGACTCCACGGAGTAGGATGTTTGCGAAAACAGACCCTATGACTATGGAAACTGATTCCGGTAAGGAGCCTTTGGGCTGGGCAACCCATAGAGCATCTTGGCTACTTTCTGAACCCCATATGTTGCCTAATATAACTCCCAGACAGAACCTGCGGGGGCGATGGCATTCGGATACTGACTTTGAGAAACCTCAAGGACACCACCCAAACAACGTGGGATTTAACCCTCATGCCTCCCATGGATACGCTCCGGCTGCGAAAGACCATCCACAGCAGGCCCCTACTACCGCAAATAACCCACCGAATCACGCGACTGGAAACCCTTCTGAAAATTTAAGGAAGTCACATAAGACTGAGAATTCCAATAATATGTATGGCCCATCTCCTAAGTCTTTCATTCGCGAGTGGTCAGAAAGATGGGGTTTCACTTCATCGACCACCCCCTCTGATACCCCTGACCAATCATTCCCACTTTGGGCTTATCCGTCTAGCATCCTACCCCAGCTTTCTAAACTTCCAAATTGGAGAAAAGAAGATCGGGACCAAAGTTTTGGGTTCCCAATTACAGATGAGATAGCGCATGACGGACCTCAACTTCAGATGAACCCACTGGATTCAACCCAGAATAAGCAGACAAGGATGAAAGCTGACCCAGTTTCAATTCCCAGTTTTGGCCCGTTTGCAAGCAATAACATAACTCTCAACGGTAAACCCAAGAGCAGAAGTCATGAAAGCATCGACGTTACCTTCTCCGCCACCGATTGGAGCGGCAAATTTCAGCATGCAACCGAATTCTTCGCGCCGAAACCTTCAAGAGAGCCTCCCTTTCAACCCAAGCCGTCCCGCGCTCGCGGCAAGAGTATAAGCAGGCCAAATTCTACGACACATCCTCGACCCTTCCCACCACCTGGGAGTACGAATCAGAACCAAAGAGATGATTCCAAGAAGTCGTCCCATTTTACGGAATCTGGATTCTCAGTCGACAAATGGAAGGAGGAAGTTCTGAAAGCCGATATTTGGTCTATTCCCCATAATGAACTACCTCACCAGAATCCAACCCGACAGAAAAGTCCTCCAAAGCAACCGAAACCAGTCATGAGGCGGAAGCAAACAATACCCAAACCAGTCTCGGTCACGACAGAATCAGAGGAGGCGGAATCGACGCTATCGCCTGGAAACACCGATGAACCCAAATCAGCTCCTGAAGGTGTTGAAGCAATGGATATTGATGAGGAGCTCCCGGCGAGCAAACCGCAACGACAACATCCTGCAGCACCAAATCCAAAAATAGACTCAACAGTCAAACCTCCTATTGCAGGCTCAACAAAACCCGCGCCATCTCCTCCCCTATCCAACAATACCTTGAACCTAAAACATCTCGCCAACGTTGCGCCATTCACACCAACCAATAGCACCGGCATCAACGACCTCAATGATCTTAGCAGCACGCTCCCGTTCGAATCTAGACCAAACGACAGCAGTGGTCCTCGACTAACTATCCGTCCACAAGACCTCGCACTTCCAAAACCCCCAAGAGTTCCTCCGGTGCCTAATTTCTCAGCTGCAGACCACCCCCACAAGGCTGAGGTACAGTTAAAGTGGGAACGTTACGTGACTGAAATCAACGCATACATGCACGACTGGAACGTATTCAACCGTACCATGCTCGGTCACTTCAACGCAAGGCAGCAGACAGTCGAGACGGGGCTTGCGCCCAATTGGGCCCGGGCAGTCGGTGACTCGGCACGGTTACGTATTAACGACGGGGTTGATTCAACAGTGAAAAAGGCCAACAAAACGACGGTGAATAATGATGGCGCTGTACAAGATGGCGATGATGACAACGACGCTGACGATGAGCAGCTGGTTGCTGGGAGCGCTAAGGGGGGGTTTAATGCCTACATGCGAGGTGTCAAGGAGGATTTTGTCGTAAGGCAACATTGGGAGGTTGCGTGGGAACGCCACTTGGCATGTTTGGAGACGCTGGATGCGACACGAAGGTTCATGAGGGGAGGAACCCGGCAGCGGCGCATGTCAGCTGGAGGGGTTGTGGGATAGTTCTGGCTCTCTATACTTTTTGTCCCCTCGTTTGCTTTCGTGGATATACACTTTCTATAATGGGAATTGGCACGCGTCGGGATTTGGGATATGTACGAAATCCGTACATACCATAGGGCAATCTGGTACCGATTTGTATTGAAGGAATATACTCATGGTTTACTTGGGGAGGGCTGGGAGAGGAGATAACGTATAACCGACGATATAGGGAGGAGAGTCATTTACCATCACGACGTTCATAACAGGATTGGACTGTACGATTGGAAGCAGGAGTTCTTTTTTCTTCTCTTTAGTGATATCCATATTCCCCATGCTCTTGCGCAGCTATACCCTTGATGCTTTGCTGGGTTGCTTGCCCTTCACTTTCTTATTCTTTTTTTACTGTATGTTGCTTCTTATGTGATCTATTTTTACCCATGAGGTGTAATTGATTATGTGTTTCTGTATATTTATATCATGATACCAATTACTCCGTACTATTATGACATTGATCATGTTTCTGGTTTCCGCTTTGGGAAGCATTAGCCCTAAGTGCAGCCCTAAGCCCTAACTTGACCTTGCCCCTCGCTGAAATTTTATTTTATTTTATTTTATATAATTTCATTTGGTTTTTTTTTGGTTTTTTTCTTTCTCATGAGAGAAAGAAAAGGTTTTTAGCTTTGTAAGGATCAGATTGCATAATAAGAACATGGTCTCTCAGCATGCCACATCGTAGGGATGAATTCCACCGCCGCCTCCGATTTGCCCCGCTATCAAATCTAAATTCGGCTACAAACTCCAAATATTTTTGCACCGTGACTGATCCATTGCTGCTTCCCTTCGGTATTCAACCAGCCATATTTCATTTATTGCTTGCGAAACTACTATGCTCTCAATTAATTCGAGTGGATGAACTGGTCATAGAATTCTCATTCAGCTTATTCAATCTCAATTGGAAAAAGTAGACTTGTTTTGCTGGGATCACGCGGGATAGTATTAAAGGAAGAGATAAGAGACAGGAAGATGGTCACCATTGTTTTAGGCGCGCAGTTTGGTGATGAGGGTTAGTCCAAGGCCAACACTTGTCCAACGTTGTTGTTTATTCTATCAAATCTGTCAGTCAGCCTAAGCAATTGTTCGCAATGAAAACTAACACCAAGAATCTCATTCTTCAAAAAACTCAGGCAAAGGAAAAATCACAGATCTTCTCTCTCAATCTGCTACACTTTGTTGTCGAGCAGCTGGTGGACACAGTGAGTTTTGCAGTCCTTTCTCCTACCTCTCCTTCACATTGCACCAGACCGATATGAGAGATGGTGGAAACAATCGACAATGATTGACTCACCAACCCCCGCTCCATTCAACCTGCAGATGCGGGCCACACAATCGTTCATGATAATATAACCTATGACTTCCACATCCTTCCCTCCGGCCTCATCGCCCCCGACTGTGTCAACCTCATTGGTACCGGAACCGTCGTGCACCTTCCCAGTTTCTTCAAGGAGCTAGATGCGCTCAAAGCCAAGGGCCTCAAGGACGCCCATGAGCGAATATTCATCAGCGATCGGGCGCAGGTCTGCTTCGACCTGCATTCTGTTGTCGATGGGCTGGAAGAGGCGAGTTTGGCAGGGAAGAAGGTCGGGACTACGGGGAAAGGGATTGGGCCTTGCTATAGCGATAAGGCGGCCAGAAGAGGGGTGAGGATCGGAGAGGTTCTGGAGGAGGGCGTGGTGGAGGACAATCTACGGAAACTGGAAGCGGGATACCGAGCGCGGTTTGGAGAGCTGAATTACGACCTTGAAGAGGAGATTGGGAGGTTCAATGTATGTGCATTCCCCTTTCCCAGTTCCAGAGCAAGACCAGCAGACAAAAAGTTCTGAATAAACGGTACTGACCTGGAGATTCCCATTCAACAAGGAATACCGCACAAAACTCCAACCCTACGTCGTCGATCAAATGACCTTTTTGGCAAAATACCGCTCCTCCCCTTCCATCCTAGTCGAGGGCGCAAACGCCCTCATGCTCGACATCGACCATGGCACCTACCCCTACGTAACCTCCTCCTGCACCGGCGTCGGGGGCGCCATCCAGGGCCTAACCCTCAACCCAACCTCCATAAGATCCATCATCGGCGTCGTGAAAGCCTACAGCACCCGCGTAGGATCCGGCCCCTTCCCTACGGAACAGAACAACGCCATCGGCGAAAAGATGCAGACGATCGGGCGTGAATTCGGCGTCACAACCGGTCGACGACGTCGCTGCGGCTGGCTCGACATGGTCATGTGTCGCTACAGTAATTCGATCAACCACTACACCTCCATCAACTTAACCAAGCTGGATATCTTGGATGACTTCGATGAGATCAAGGTGGCGGTCGCGTATAAGCTGGATGGGAAGCGGTTGGAGTCGTTCCCTGCGCTGCCTGGTGTTCTGGATAAGGTTGAGGCGGAGTATGTGACCTTCCCCGGGTGGAAATCGACTACGATGGGCATTACGAGGTGGGAGGATCTGCCGGCGAATGCGCAGCGTTATATCCAGTTCATCGAGCGGGAGATGGGCGGTGTGCCAATTAAGTGGATTGGAACTGGTCCGGCGAGGACGCATATGATTGAACGTGAGGTATAAATCACATACCTCTGTATAATACTTACATGCGTGTACCATTCCTAGGATTTTTTACTCCAGTTTCCTGCTCCGTGCTTTTTTTCTTTTCTTTTTTTTTTTTTTTTTTTTCTGTTACATCTCCTTTGTTCGTTATTATGAGCTCATTTTGATGGGTATTGCAAATGTTTCATACTCTTATCCATATAGATAGATGATCTTGTTTTTTCTTTACTTTCCTCCGAGTGCTTTTGTTTTTCTTCAGTATATTTATTTATTCCTTTTCAATTTTCTGTTCTGATTATGACAACATTTCTCGAATGCGTGGCGTCGAAAATTTCTCCCCCACCTTTCCTTTTTACATTAGTTTATACGGAGAACTTATTTTCCCTTTGTTTTCCTTTCTTTCTGTTGTCACCTCCGGAAGCCCTTCCACATCTTGCTGTATAGAGAAATGACTCGGAGCAACTATAGGGTCTTTGAGTAGATCTTGAAAAGCAGGGGAAGGAATCACCATGCTGAATAAATTTAGATTGGGGATCCATATATATATGCCAGGTGGGGGCAGGTGGTATCATGAAAATAATCTGTGGAGCTTTCTTAAGTTCCATACATTGGTAATAGAAGTCAATATCAGCAAAATTGGAAAGGGGATAAGAAAAGAAATGGATGATGAAAAAAAAAAAAAAAAAAAGGAAATTCGACGAAGATATTCAAAGTAGAAAAACAGCTTTCCGCTCAATCCGGACTCAAGTCGCCCTGCCCAATCCTTCGCTGTGGCTCATTAATAGCAGGTAACGCAAACCCTCTTGCATCTGCCATCATTGCTTTTCGACTAGCCATAGCACGTTCTTGGCGTGACAGCAGCTCAGTATCCCGCTTATACTGTCGCTCATTCGCAGTCTCCAGCTCCTTTAGCCTGCGGGACTCCGCCTGCACTCGTCCGTCAAAAACATTCTGTTGGATTGCGGCAGATGTTTTTTGGAATTCAATCTGTAGCCTACCTTCCTCCTTTGTGGCTTCGAGCCGAATTTGGTTGAGGGCTCGTTGTTGCTGGAGATCTGCATGTCGCTGCTGGTCTGCTACCACTTGCCGTTGTGCAGCTGCGGTGGCTTCTAGGCGCAGTTGTAGCGCGGCCGAGTTTGCCGTGGCTGCGTCACGGTTTTCGGCTACCTCGCGATCTTGCTGGATCCGAAGAGTATGGGTCTTTTTCATAACGAGATTTTGCTGTTCCGCAACTTCCATTTCGCGCTTCAGGGCTAGTTGGTGTTCTTCTTCTTGCTCCTCTAGGCGGCGTTCTCGTGCTTTTCGCCTCCTTTCCTCCTCGAGGATGTCTTGTGGGGCCCCGACCATGTCTGGTGGTTGAGGACCTTCCTGTTTGTAGAAAACGTCTTTGCATCCGTTGGCCTTGAGGATATGTAAAAGGTCCGGGACATATTCTTTGGAACTATTCTGCAAACCCTTGGCAAGGTACATTGTAGGGGAGAATACGAAACCGTCCTGAGAGTAGAGGTTTTTCTCGTCATTAACACGTCTCCAAAGACCCCCCGCGAGGAGTGCCTTTGTAACATTCGTGCGGCCGGTTGGGTTATCCAAGGCATGCATCAAAAGTGGCTTGCGGCCTCTATCAGAAATGAGTTCGGCTTTTCCCGCCACGAGAATATCAATCGTCTGTCTGAGTTTACCAAACGATGTCGCCGAATCTGCTGCTGCATTGAGACACAGTTCTCCTAGTGCACTCCGGCCGTCGTGAGCCATTGAAGGGAAATTAGGATCATGGCCATAATCAAGGAGCAATTTGACAGCATCAGCGTGTAATTCACGCGCAGCTTCATGAATGCTGCCATCATCAACGCCAGGATTTGCGTTTAGCAAGTGGCGCAAGGTTGCTACTTGGCCGCGTTTACTGGCGTATAAAAGTGGGGTACGCCCATATATGTCGCATATTGAAACATCTGCACCATGTTGGATGAGTGTTTGCACCATATCTGGTGTTCTCTCCATTGTTGCGACCAGCAAGGGAGTTTGGTGAGATCCAGTGGATTGGAAGTTCGGGTTTGCTGCAAGAAAAGTTGTTAGAAATGGTAATTTAGAAACCCAAGCGAAAAAATTTCTACACCTACCTCCATTCCTCAGCAGGCAATCAATAACATAAGGACTGATTTTTTGTTGTGGCTGAAGAAGAGCCCATAGAAGGAGAGAAACCTGCTCGTACCCTTCTTTAGACTCGATGACATATGGGATGGTTTGGTCAACAAGAATATCAGCCTTCAACAAAGCTTCAAGAATTTTGGTTCCACGCGGCCACTTTCTTAACGCTGCGAATGTGACTGGTTCCTGCTGTGTTCCATCCTCATCATACATGTAGCTATTTAAATCTGGAATGCCTCCGGGAATCTGAGTAAATATTTCGATCAATTCAAGGGTTGTGTCTTCTGGTAAGTTTGATGAAAGGATAGTAGAAAATGCTGTAGAAAGATTGACTGTTGATTCAACAGATCCCAAAAGCCTGCGCACAAGCACTGGGCTATTCTTTGCAACAGCTATATTGAGAGCTCGACCGTTGTCATAATCAGCATTCGCCCCGAATCGAATGAAGAGATCTACAGCATCTGTAGCATCGGCGATAATACCGAAGCTTTCGACAGAGACTGCCAAGGCGGAATCAATCACTTCGCCGGAAGCTCCGTTTTCTAGAAGCTGCTTGATTACCAGTAGACCGGTGGGGGAAAGCCAAGTATTGCCTGCTGAAGTCATTTGTGAAAAAATGTCATTAATAGCTCCCCGATCGGAAACGGCCTCCAGTAATAGTTTTAAGGTAGCTGCATCCATCGACATAGCAGCGTGAAGGAGAGGGAGGTTGTTAGAGCAATGAACCGAAGCACCATGATTGAGTAACAATTTTAAAGTCTCAGTGTCAACAACAGGCTCTTTTACTGTTTCAACAAGAGCCCTATGAATATGCGGTCCATCATAACCTGCCTGGAGAATCCTGGAAGTATATTGATATCGCTCAGCACCCTGAAGGGCCCATGCGGAGGTAAAACCCGTTTCTAATGACTCATTGGCGACGCCGTGTTCTAGAAGGATCGTCATAATATCAAAAGAGCAGGTTTCGATAGACAAGGCAAGAGCTTGTCCATGTTCATCATTAATAGAGGCACCAAATCCCAAAATCAACTTCACGAGGGACGTGTCAGACTTCAGTCTCACTGCCTCAGCCAAAAATTTGCTTATTATTTTTGGCATTCGGCCGCGACCAGCATCCAGCAGGATCGCTGCCATTTGGTTTTTGGTGCTCGTATTCGTTTTCAGCAACGCGTCCAAAGCCACACCCAAAGTGTCTGTTGACGGTGCGTTAGAAACCAGAATCTTGAGCTGTTTGTCATCGGAGTTTTTGATCGCTTTTCGAACCACAGCACCGTTTTTGAAGTTCACATTAGCGCCAAATTTTAGAAGCAACTCCATGAGCGATGGATGACTCCAGGGCTGTCTTTGTGCAGTTATGAGACCAGAGTCAAGTGTCTCGCCTTTGATGCCCGCTGCAAGGAGTCCGTGACAGATATCGTACTGAAGAGAGCAGTCCTGAAGATTAAGAGCTATGCGAAAGGCAGTATTTAAGCTCGTATGGCTTGGGTTGTGTGATAAGAGCAGTTGAAGGAGATCAGAATTTCCCTGTTTGGTTGCCAGTTCTATCGACTTCCCATTGTTGGCATTAACGTCAGCAATGCCCTTATCAAGCAGCAGCTGCAGTAAAGGTATATCTACAGGTTTGTCATTAATCACATATAGGAGGCCTTCGTCGACAGGAGGGCCACGCGCACCAGCGGAAACAAGCAGATCCAGTATAGCGAATCGGAGATCGGAGTTCGGTAAATTAAGGGCAGGAATAATTCCCTGGGCAAGTGAAGCAGGCGAAGGAACTCCTTTTAAGAGTAACTTTAAAGCATCGATATCGCCTGCAGCCGCAGATTCCCGGAAACATTTCCCTCCGTGAACATTCACATCGATTCCGTGCCGCACAAACTCGTAAATAAGGGGCATCTTTTCCATCGTAAAATCAGACATTACTGCTTTGATCAAGGCATTTTCCACTTCGATGCCCTTCGCGCCAGCTGCCAACAAGCGCCCTGCCATGATCAGACGAGGCTTAGAAGGGACAGCTTCTAATAAGGGAAAGCAAAGTTCCAAAGACTCCTTCGAAGGGCAGCCCTTGAGAAGCAGCTCGAATAGCGGTAAAGAAACAGAAGAAACTGCGCAACGAAGAGCTTCAGCGTTATCATAATCGACGGAGGCATGTTTTTGCACAAGATATTCGGCAATAGTATAGTAATTTCGCTGAACTGCATCCACCAAACAGGGATGAAGCGCGTATCCACAAGCTCCTCGCTCCACCAGTGTGGAAATAATTGCCAACTGCTTCGAGGGTGGAATACTCGAGGCAATTTTAGGGAGCATTGTTAAAATATGAGAGGCATATTGTCCATCGATACGAGCGCTGAATAAACTCGCCAGTAAGTTGGTATTTCCCATTTTAATTGCATGAATGATAGCTTCGGCCGAATTGTACGTCACAGAAGCACCGTACGTGACAAGCAAGGAGACAAGTTTCTCGTCATTCCGCTCAACAGCTTTGAAGAGGATTTTGGGGACCGCTTCTCCATTCGCGCCGCCGCAGAGAATGATCTCAATGAGCGTTCTTTGGAGATCAGAACCGGATTCAATTTCATCAAAGGCGACTTCGACAGCACGATCAAGAGATGTCTTCGAGGGCGGATGATCTGCTAAAATAAATGCAACAACAATATCCCGACTCCGTGCGCGAACTGCACTTTCCAGGGCCCCAGGCACATTGCCATCTGCTCCGCTTTTCAGCAGCGCTGAAACCAGACCGAAGCGTCCGGCAGCAACAGCGCTAGGTAATGCTTGATCAAGGCAAGAAGCTGCTATTCGTTTTTCAGCACTTAGGAGTAATTCGACCAGTGGTGTGTCTCCGCGGGCCACAGCTGCCAGGAATGCTTGCTGGCAAAAGTTGGGGTCTCCCCCATTCTGAAGCAGGGTTTTCGTGCATTCCATGTGGCGTCCCGACACAACAACGTCCAAGGCTTCATTTAACCCAGTCTCGTCGGAATGTAGACTCAAAAGATACACCATAGATGGATGCTGCATTCGCGCCGCCCATATTAGAAGGGAGCCAATATCGCTCTTGGTCACATGCTGCTGCTGCTGCTGTTTGAAGAGGTGCTTCTCGAGCTTTGCATCGTTGCTTTTTGTCAGGAGGTAATCGAGGACCCCAAGGGAGCCATCTGTTCGAACTAGCTGCTCTATGACGGCGTGAATTTCGTGGTTGCTAAAAGCGCGTTTGCTAGGTTGCCGACGAAAAATATGCGATTTGGATGCAAAAGTTTCCTGGCGCTTTTGTTTCAGAAGACTCTCGGCTATCCCCTCGTCGCCTTCACGCGCGAATGACACATATTCCCTAACGAGTCTGGGACATGCCTCGTTCAATCTGATGACGGCATCTGGTGCTAGTTGTTCAAGCCGTGCTTGAAAAGGGTGGTTCGAAGTTGCCATTCCTATCTTTAGCTAGGAGTGGCATCGCAGGCCTGAATCCTGTCTCGGAATGCGGCCGGGAGGAGAGAGAACAAATACCAAATAAGGCTGCGCCAGGCAGAATTTTGACAAGACAATCCCTCACTACGCAAAAATTGGAGTTTTAATAGCTCTTGACGAGCAAAGAAAGGATACGACCCAACAATGGTCAAAGAAAAAGAGCACTGCAACATAGTTATAAATCAAGAGTAAACTAGATTTATTCTATAAATAACACAGGGGATAGACAATGCAGATACCGGCAGTCACTTTGTACCTATTATTGTTTCCGTAGCCGCCCGGAGAGTGACGTTGCCAGTCGTGTGAATGGGTGTTGAGCTGAAGCTTTACGTGGTTGCGCAGGAGTAGTTCGACGTCGACGACAGCGCTTACAAGTCCCTCTGGCTCGCCAAGAGCAACCGCTGCCTTGGTTGAAAGCCACAACGCCCGAGACATTCAGGGTTCGCATCCTGGAACCTCGCTCCCGAGAACTGGCTTGACACCTGTCGAGCTGGAACAATGAAACAATAAAGCTTTTTCCGAGCAAAACGTTCTTTGACTTTCCCTCGTTAGCATGGTGCCGGGCTTTCCCAGTTTTAAATTCCCAACCGAATTAGATCAGTGGCCAGCCCCCCAGATGCCATTATTGTTCAATGCCCCTTTTTGAAGTCGTAATAGATGAGCAAGAATGATTTGGACAGATAAATGAAGATGGACTGCTTTTCTAATAGCTAATAAAGGCGTAGATTTTGGCGTTGTCTTGCCGAGAGACATCACAGTGGCAACCCCAACGATAGGAAATGCATCATCTATGGCCCACCGAATGCATTTGTGAAAACCTACACTTGAAAAGTGCGCTGCCAGATGAATCGAGTAGTTAAAAGTAGAGGATTAATTTCATAACGAGAGGATTTTTTTTCCTCGGTAACACAGATAACAAAGGAATAGAAAATTATGAGTTAAATAAACGCGGTATGGAGTGACAAAGGGTGGTTAGAAGGACAAAAGATACACAAGGCAGGAACCACTACTATACAGTCATGAAGAAAAGGGGAGAAGAGATTTAGGATAAATAAATCGGTTGTAACAGATGTAATTAACACAGATTGAAGAAATGAATCTGAGAATGGGAAATACATGGCACCCTCAGTCGATAGAGAAAAGAAGACGAACAACACCTTTTCAACCCCTATAACACCGGTATAAAAATGGAAGAAGGAAATGGAAACGTCTTCCCCATCGTGGAGGACAAAAGTGAAAAATCCCGATAAGCTTTAACGTGAACAAAAGGAGGAACACCAGGAAATAAACATGCCGTGCCCCATGTCTATGATCGTAGCGAGCGAGAGAGGAAGAGGAATGGCCCGACGCCAAACTCTGCGCCAGTGCGGGAAAAGAAAATGAAGAAAGTTTGGCTAATTGTATTTCAGAATGCATCCAAGTCACGCATCGTGCATTTTTAATCAATGCGTCAGGATGTGATGCGAGCAGCGTTGAACGGGAAACTAGAGTGTTCATAACAGCTTTCTGCCCTGGACGCCTGGACTCGTTATTGACTCAAAAGTCGAAGTCGAACGGATTACCACGGTTTGTTCTGGAATTAAAAGAGTCACGCCCACTCCCAGATCTGTAATTAGAGTCACGAGAACCTCGAGTGCCGCTGCCATACGAACTACCACGGCCGCCAGAGGAACCACGAGAGCCGTAAGGCGTTCGGGGAGTAAAATTATCACGAGAACCATAGCCACGAGAGCCGTAGGAATTAATAGATCCATAGGAACCGCGAGACCCAGAGGATTCGCGAGCGTCCTCATTCTCATAAGGATTCTTGGTATTCAGACCTGGGACACCCTTATACCCGAGTTTATAAGCTGTCGTTGCGGAGAAAGCAGGGGGTTCCCGCAAACCCCAGCCATGAGTCGAGAGTTGGTTGATAAGGCGAACAACCTCGAATTTATCTCTAATATGGCTCATTACGCCCAAATATGCGGCATAGGCTGCAGATTTGTCCTTGATCGAAACCGTTTTGAAGCCGCTTTTCACCTGGGAAAATATATCGGAGACCCAAGGTGGGTGGCCAATGTCCGTGGTCATGTCAGCTGCTGCAGTGAGAAGACTGGAATCGTCAACTTGGATTGGGAGATCTCTAAGGGCTCGCCTTAGATTGCCGCTGTCAAGATCCAAAGTGAAGAGCCAGCCCTCTCCCTTCTTGTTGGCGCGAGCTGTCCGTCCGAGGCGGTGAATATATGTTTCCCTATCCCGCGGGATTCCTATCTGGATCACATGGGTGACATCAGGGAAGTCCATTCCCCGTGCGGTAACATCGGAAGAGAAAAGAATAGCAGATTTGGAGCTACGGAACATGTTTGAAAATCTTGTCCTCTGGTCTTGAGTCAGGCGAGAATGCATTTCATAGGACTGAGTATCAGGCAGGGGGTGAGAGAACGAAGAGGCGCTTGATCTCATCGCTGCAAAGGCTTGCTTTGCCAAAGTCACCTCGGCGGTAGAATTGAAATAGACAATCGCTTTGAAGGGCATATTATTCGCAGGATCGCTTCGATGTTTCTCGATGCCCTGTTTTGCTAGTTCAAAAATGGCTGGCAGTTGATTTTCCATGCCTCGGAGGAAAACGGCCTTTTGAGGAACGGTCAGGTGAGTCGGAATTTCATCCTCTTGGACAGTCTTGACAAAAGCGAAGTCGCGCTTCATAGTCTGGCGAACCATGGACATCACCTCTCGCGGGACAGTAGCGGAAAACATAAGAGTTTGTCGGTCAACGTCACGGCGATGTGGAAGATAGGTTTGAAGTTCTTGGATGTCAGGAGCGAAGCCAATATCAAGCAGACGATCCGCTTCATCAAGAACTAACGCACTCAATTTCGGGGCAGCAACACCGCTGTTTGGGTCAGAGAATATGTCGATAAGGCGGCCAGGGGTGCCAACCAGGATATGGCACCCATCACGCTGAATCCGCATCAAACCTTCACGCTTCTTTGTCCCTCCCACAGCTGTTTGGACAATGATGCTTGTATTTGACACGAGTTTCCTTGCTTCGACAGCAATTTGTTCGGCAAGTTCACGAGTGGGGGAAATGATTATGGCACGGATGTCTGATGCGTCGGTTTGGCTACGAGAAAACCTTGGGCGCTGGGCGAGGTGCTGATCTTTGAGGATATTTTGGATAACTGGAAGAAGGAAAGCAAGGGTTTTTCCGGTACCAGTTTTCGCTTGGGCGAGGCTACAATGGAAATATCAGACAAATTGAATGGAAATCAAAATCGTAAGAACAGCTTCACTTACACATCAGAACCATTTAGCGTAGCATTGATCGTCATCCTCTGTACATCTGTCATAGTTGTAATATTCATCTTATTGGTGAGAACGCGAATGATATTGTCGCTGACCAAACCATTGGAAGCTAGTTCGGAAAACTGAGTGAGCTCAGCTGGTGGTTCTTCGGCTTCCTTCACGGCGCTGGCTGCTTGGGAAGACCTGAGGGCCGGATATGCATGGAAAGCTCTTGTCGGGAGGACAGACGTTTGTTGAGATATCCGGAAAGTGTTTATTGATTGCTGGATGCCTGACTGGATTCTAATCGGGCGCGCAATGCACGTTCGTAGAGTGCGTGCGAGGACATTTCCTCGACGAACGGAACCAAGCATTCTGAAGGCTCAGTTCACTGAAGAGACTAAAAGAGAGGGTTAAAACAGATGAAAAAAAATTTCAACAAAAAGTAAACAAGAATAAGAAAACACACCCCTCTCGGCAAGAGGAAATAAAAAATGCAAGGGATGAATAGGATTAGAGGAGGGAAAAGGAGATGTTGGAATAGGAAGAAATGATAAGACGATTTAATTTTATCAAAACTTTTTTTTTCTTGAAGAAGGAAAAACAAAACTCCGAGAATGAAAATTTCAGTAGATTGATGTGGTCTGTGCTTTTGGAAAGGCACCTCATGTTCACGTGATAAACATTGGGCCAACAAAGCCACAGATTCAAGATATGAACTATTCAATACAACAATAAATTTCATAGCTATCGCCAGTGTTACGAATATACCCAACATGGAACGGATCATTAGCTAACTGTAGCTTCACATCCCCGAGTGCCCATACCACCCTTGATCCATAATCGTAACATTGACATTCACATTCATAACTGCGTGCTGGAAACATACTCCAAAGTCTGCCTTGTTTCATTCCTACATGACAACCGAGGTTCACCCATTCAATCCCCAAACAGGCCATCCATCGCCATTGGTGCCATCCAAGTGCACTGCAATTTCCCCCCTCTGATACGGGGACACCATTTATTGCAAATACTCTCCATTTGTTTCTTTATGGATGACATCAAACAGGGGTTTCGCATTAAAGTAGCCTGCTCCAGGAGTGCCAATGGTTTTATAGGTAAAGAGCGCATCCTCATCTTCGATTTTCACCGTCACACTGCCGCGACCCGCTGCTGCGGCATCCGCCATCAATTGGGATTGGCAGCATCTCTCCAGAGAGATGAACCAGAATACTGCCTCCTCAATCGTTTTGCCCACAGTCAAAAGACCGTGATTTTGCAGAAGGGCAGCCTTTTTGTTGCCTAACGTGCTTGCGATGTTTTCCCCCTCCTCTTTAGCGAGGACGACGCCTTTGAATTGTTTATAGATAGCGAGATCCTAAAAGGTGTCAAGGAACATATTCAAAGTTAGTTTATATTTTGCCGCATGGTGCGGGTGCGGAGAACGAGATGCTGCCATTTATTTTTCTGACCAGAGGAAGATATCACAAGACAAACAGGAGGTATGTGAGAACAATGAGTAAATTTTAAAAAAGGGTTATAACTTCGATCAATTTTGAAGAGGAAATAGAGATGAGGATGAAGTGGAGAGGATGGAAAGGATGGAGAGGATGGAAAGGAACGCACGTTGTAGAAGGCACAGGAGTCTTGGGTCGTGATATCCAGCGGCTTTCCAAGAGCACAAAAAGTGCGTCCATAGATACTATGGCTGTGTGCAGCGCAAACCACATCTGGCCGCGCATCATGCACTGCGGCATGGATCATATATGCTGCCGTATTCAGTAGACGGACCTTCCCACCGTCAATCACCCTTCCGTCATGGTCAACCTGAATAAGGTCGGAGGCGTTGATGAGAGAGAAGGCGACGCCAAAGGGGTTCACCCAGAATGTTGTGGGATCGACAGGGTCCCGGAGCGTAATATGGCCGGCAACACCCTCGTCAAAGCCATACTTTCCGAAGATTCGAAAGGCAGCAGCTAATCTCCCTTTCAGATACTGTCGTTCTTTATATTTGTCTTTGAAAACCGGAGGTCGAGGGAATGCGGGCATCGCTTGCGCGTTAACTTGCCCGGCAGCGGAACTAGAGCTTGCCGCTTCTGTACCTGTAGCTGATGGAGGAGGCATGGTGTTCAGCTGGAAAGATTCCAAATTTTCGATGTAAACTAAAAACTTAAACTAGTCCACTATGAAAAGGTGTCCAGGTGTGTTTTTGAGTCAGATAGGGCGTATGTATCAAAATAAATAGGGGTACCATAAGCTTATCAATCTCGCGGGTTGGGGCTGGTCGGTCCCAGGGTTCCACCGGTTACGACCGGGAGCCGGGAGAGTGGGGTCAGCAAGGACAACACCCCGGCATCAGCCAACATAGGGTTGCCTAGCAAGCCTTGGTAACTGTGGTGGGGAGTCTGATGTATGTACATACTACGGGGTACATGCGGGACTCTAGGGCTCCCATGCACCTCACAAACTGTTCTATGTAAGCCCGCGATCTGTAACTCTTCATAGATCATCTGACCTATGGAAGGACGGAGTAAATTCTTGATGATTCGGTGGTCATCCTAGTTAATGGGAGGAGCAGGATTTCTGGAGAAGGGGGGAGATCAAGCGCAAGTTTCCGAATCGAGGAGCTGGACCAGCCGGAAGCTCGGATAATCCACCCCTGTGAGTTGGATTAGAAAACAGTCGTACAATTCATAACAAAATAAAATAAAAAATAATGAAATAAAATAATAAACAAAATAATAAATAAAGTAATAAATAAATAAATAAATAAATAAATAAATAAATAAATAAATAGCTAAATAATCGTATTAGCCTGTCAAATTCTGGAAGTAAATAAATGGTTGCGCCAAGTGAAGCAGGCATCTATGTAAGAATCGGCAGACATAGGCCATTCCAGGATCATCCAGTTCTTGTAGAAGCGAGAGGGATTAAGTGGAAATAGACAATAAATAATTACTTAGGAGGTATAAAAGCATGCAAAGTAAAACAAAAGCAATACAATAGAGGTCTTATTAAACGAAAACGGTAATCCTGTCACGAATGCTGCCTTCTTGGTTCTTTCATGTCCCACATCGCGCCCTTTTCATGGATATTGCATGGCTGGTGGTGATTGATAAGCTCCATTTGCCTGCGTTCTCGTCACGGATTCTTTCGAATTTTGCACAATGGTGCAGCAGGGGCAGCAGAATGATGCGCAAAAGTCCGTCGCGCTTGAGCCCTCGATACCATAAGTATCTCGAATCTTGCTACGTTGGAGTGCTGTGAGGATACATGAACACCCTACGTAGGCCAAGCATGCCCAAGCACAACACTGTTTGATGGAGTTTAATGTCAGCTAAACAATTCAATTCCATTCCTCTTCGCTGTATAGTCAGTACAGAGCGCATTGCTGCTTACCATGCCATTCATACTACTGTGCTCAGTGGCTCCTGGCTCCTTCAGCCGAGCTTCAGTTTTACCAAAGACCATGCAGGGACAGAAGTAAGTCAACAAGCCTGTTCAAGAACCAAGTTAGCATTTCATTAGATCTCGTCAAGAGGAAAGCGCGCAATCCTGAGCATACATGTACTGAATGGATTGCAGCAGGACCAAAAACCATGTGACCATTCCTTGCCAGCAGGCACGGCGGGAGCAGCCATTTTGTCACCCATCTTTACTGGGTTTATGTGTAATGAGGGGAATATAATAGTAGTTCAGCCAAAGAAACACAATGAAGCTGACCCCGAGGGAACTCCAAAATAATAAAGAGCGGCTGTTCTGAATAAATTAAGAAACGTGAGAGGTTGGGAAATACGCAAGACCAAGCTGGACAATGCGGAGAGAGTGGAATTTAAATCAACCTTTGAGAATTATATGAGGAAGCTCAGCCGCTGCATAGGAAAACATTGCTGCTTTAACGCTGTATTCATGATTAGTCACTCATTAAAATAAGCTAATTTAAAATAGGTAATAAACTAAATCAAAGAAGGAATGATTCCTGTTGGTGAGCGGGAAATGATTTGGAAGATACTCTTTCAGTAAGGATAGCAAATCAACTCTATCCAATCACCATTTCTGTATGATCTTAGCTTATTTTCAATTGCCTATCAATGAAACTAATTTGTGTTTTCATATTTCTATTTCCCAGAAGTATCAGCTCAAAGTTGAGAGATGCTTTTTTGAACACGGGAATTTTGATGTTGAGATTGGGAGCATGTGGCCTTACTAAAATAATCTTAGTGTCACGCTGAATTTAGGGAGTCTGCTCGGTTGCATTCCGACAGCAAAGCCAGTCCCCAGTCCCCAGGCCCACTCTTGACATGATTAGTGACAGAAACAGAGAATGGTTTCCCAAATTTCGAAAAGATATGCAGCCGGAGGTGATGGGCTGCTGCGCAATCTGCAGGCAACGGGCACACAAGTGGAGGTCATGTCTGTTTCGTCCAGACTCTTGTCTGGCGCGGTCTTTTTGGAGGACCAGGGGTGCGACAAGGCTGAGTTTGAAGCCACCTCCCTGAAGAGTTGGTGGCCCGCATTGTTGCTCAGCTCATGAAAGAATTAGTCTTCGAAAATTCAAAGCTTGACTGGGGTAGAAAGCTTTGAACCACCAAGAATTATTCTAAGTTTCCCTGCAATCATCTCGTACACGGTAAATGGCCCATCCTAATCAGGTCCTGAGACGGAAGAATTCAGCGAATCATGGGTTTTCTTTGCGGTCCAGTCACCAGTCACTTCTCAGGATTGGTTCGGCCCCAGGTGGACGGACCCTGATTGAGCAAGTTCTGGCGCCATGTTGTCCCCCATTTGCAGGGATTCAACACCGCTAAAAGCTCAGCTCCAATGCTCCTTGTGGCTCTTGGCTTGTTCCAGATTTGGTCCAATTATCACATCTCCTGCATTGCGGCTCTGATCCCCCAGTTGTGTGATCTGCACCTCAATACGAAATTTGAGGCTGGCCCACTAAGTCCTTCTTGAAACTTTGAGCCTCAGGAATGCCAAGTCGGTCCTTTCGTATGAACTGCATGAATTTATTGTTCCATATTGACAAGGTATCTTGAAATTGTAATTATTCAGGTGAAGGCACAAGGTGTCTCTTCGGTTTTGGCTGAGAAAATGTCGTCTATCTTTGACCACTCAAGCAATGTGCACAAGAATGGATGCAATCTCCTGGTGAAGATGTTTTCTTTTTCTCGCCCACTCCTGCGTTTTGGACCGCATGCGGCGGCCCGTGTGGCTTGCAGGCTGTCCAACGACTCGGCTTTGTGATGTGAGGAAATTTCCAAGCCAAGACCAAGCATGATAGGACTGATTGGAATCATCGTCAACTCCAACATGAATGGAGACCCCTCAAAAACCTCAATCGAAATAACTAAAGGAGTTACTGTCACAAACTTCTTAATGTTACCGGAAACGCAAGGAGAATCGTGGGATTGTTCTCCCAGAATCTCCAAATAAATACTAGAATACTATAATGATTACAGGAGACATTGTGGAACATATATGAATATAGACTCCAGTGTGCTTCTGCATATATCATGTTTTATTGGTACTCGTTATACTGACTTCAAGCTTTGATCAAGGTCGCAAAGATGCGAAGAGAATTGCCCTTTCAGATTCCTGTCCTAGAATGCCAAAACAGTGCATGCGCATCTCTTACCCTTCCCATATTCACAAATTTTGCTATGGGCTTGCTCATATTCTTTGCTCATATTCCTTTCCCGCACTCAAATGTTGAAGGCATAAAAGCTGAATTTGACGTTACCACTTCTTTCTGGTGTCAGCTTTTGTGAACTGATCGCATTCCAGTCTGTGGTGGAGCCTCGGTCCGACAGTTCCTCCGTCACTCCCCCCAAATCCAAATTTCAAACGATTCTTCGATGCTACCATCCAAATATTGTTAAGGTCAATAAAAATATTATTATGGGCAAACGCAAGAGTAACAAGGTAAGTCGCAATCAATTCCATTCAGACATACTACATATTTCATTATTATACACTGTATACTGACATTAGCTTAAGGGCGGCAGTGGTGTAGGTAATCACGGCCGTCGACCAGATTTCTCCACGATCATAGTGAAGGAGAATGAAAAATATGAAAACTATTACAACAGCCTCCATATTGTTAATGATGACGAAAAGGATGATTTTTGGGAGGCTCTCAGACGAAATTTACCCAACAGCTTCCGATTCACAGGATCCAAAAGGTGCGTTCGGTCAGGCTAAGGCAGCCCTTTGAATGCTACGCAACGGAGCTGATGATATGGTGTGTCTCAGCCATGCTCTCGCGGTACAAGAACGCCTGAAGGATTTTTATATTCCTAATATTATCTCCATCACACATGAGGGCAACCCTGTCGACCCTCCTCATCCCGTACCTTGGTACCCGGACCAATTAGCCTGGTCCATGACAACTCCCAAAAATGTGATCCGCCGGTTCGCACCATTCGCTTCGTTTCAAAAATTCCTCGTTGCGGAAACAGCAGTTGGAAACATCAGCCGTCAAGAGGTAGTGAGCATGATTCCTCCGCTGGTACTTGACGTCCGCCCGGGAATGACGGTGTTAGACATGTGTGCTGCGCCTGGTAGCAAGTCTGCACAATTGATGGAGTTGGTACACGCGGGAGAAGAAGAGAGGATGGCAGAGATTGCTAAGCGTCTTGAAACTGCTGCGGATGCTGAAAGAAGAAAGGGAACCGTAAATGTGCCTAAGTTGCTTAATGGCGAAATGGAATCAGACGGTATGGATGACGATGGAAGATCGACAGGCTTGCTTATTGCAAACGATAACGATTACAAGCGCGCCCATTTACTAATTCATCAGATGAAACGACTCAATTCTCCAAATTTAATTATTACAAACCATGATGCTACGATGTATCCTTCAATTAAGCTGCCATCGCTGCCCTCCCCAGAAGGTAAACCCATAAGGAACAGATACCTCAAGTTTGACCGTATCTTAGCAGATGTGCCTTGCTCGGGTGATGGAACTACTCGCAAAAACGTGAATGTATGGAAGGATTGGAACCCTGCCAATGCCCTTGGTTTGCACCTAACCCAGTACAGGATTCTAACTCGAGCTTTGCAAATGCTAAAAGTGGGAGGAAGGGTGGTATATTCAACTTGCAGCATGAACCCTGTTGAAAACGAAGCGGTGATTGCGAGTGTCATTGACCGGTGTGGCGGCCCAAGCAAGGTTCACATCATGGATTGCAGTAACGAGTTGTCTGCCATGAAAAGGTCGCCGGGTCTGACTACCTGGACCGTTATGGACAAACAAGGGAGAATATGGGCCAACTGGAAAGACGTCGAAGAAGCGGTTTCGGAAGGTGATGTTACCCTCAACAGAATAGTGGAGGGCATGTTTCCTCCTGCAGAAGAGGAAGGCATCGATTTATCCCGATGCATGCGCGTGTATCCCCATCAGCAAGATACTGGTGCATTCTTCATCGCTGTGCTAGAAAAGAAAAGCGACATTAAAGCAAGACCAGAGGGTGCTAAAAAGCCTACATCAACTTCCGCACCTGAACCTACGACGGAAAATCTAGCCGACCGAGATGGTACCAATGCTTCCGTTGAGCTGGCTGGTGTATCGGATGAGGCAACTCCCGTAGAATCACATGTCGTGCCGGTACCGGTCCCTGTTACTCAGAGCTTGGCTAAACGGGCATTTGAAGTGTCAAGTGAAGATCTTGCAAACAAACGACAAAAGGTGGAGGAGAGTCACCTTACGGTTCCTTCAGCTCCTTCTGTTGAGGAAGTCCCTGAGCTACAAACCAAGCAAGAGGCAGCAGTCCCACCAATTTCAGAAGAATCACAACCGCATGTATATGCTGAACAGAAACCTACTGTATCGACAGCAACCGCTTTCTCCGCAAAACGCCGACCTGGCCAGCCAGTGGAAGAGCCATTCAAGTATCTAGATCCCAAGAGCGAAGAGTTTGATCAGATATTCAGCTTTTATGACATATCACCACAATTCCCGAGAGATCGTTTCATGGTTCGGAATTTCCAGGGTCGCCCAGCTAAGACGATCTATTATACGAGCACCCTAGCTCGTGATATCCTTACTGCTAACGAAGGGGCTGGAATAAAGTTTGTACATGCCGGCGTCAAAATGTTTGTTAAGCAAGATGTGCAACGACAAGATGTCTGCCCATGGCGTATCCAAACTGATGGACTTGCGATTCTTGAATCCTGGGTTGGACCGCGCCGTGTGGTTAAAATATATCAGAAGGAGACATTGCGAAAGCTCCTTATTGAAATGTTTCCCAAAGTAAACGATAATGGGTGGAAGCAATTAGGAGAAATCGGTGAATGGGCGAGGGATATTGACATGGGATGCTGTGTTCTAAGAATCGAGCCCACAGACAATGAAGATGGCTTCCGGTATGATTCCAATCTGCAATCCATGACATGTGTAAAAGTTTCACTAACTCTCACTTAGGGAACGTATGGTTCTCCCGCTATGGAGAAGTATGTACTCGCTGAACTTGATGCTGCCTAAAGAGGAACGGCGCGCGATGTTACTGCGATTATACGATGATGAGACACCTTTGGTGAATACGACAAACAAACGCAAAGAGGCGGCTGCTGCAAACCCCGATCAAACATCCGATGCGTCGGATGCAGTTGCAAATGGCCAATATGAGAACTCCGCTGATGTGCCAACCCAAGAGGATGATACAGAAGCTCCTTTACCAGTAGAGGAAAACAAAAGTTGACGATGTGACAAGGACAGTGTAGATATAGATACATCATTTGTGTTCATAAATTTTTTATCTTTACACATTCATTCCCAATCTCTCACCCATGGCCATTTATACCTGCCTGTGACCGTGTGAAGATTCATTTCGACATGAACAGCCCTATTCCCTTTGTTCCACTCTGTTCAGATGGATCCAGAATGGCAAATTGAGCTAATCGATTGCCGACATAACATCAAACATCGGTCAAATCGACTCTTCTGCTTAAAATGCTAACCTGTCCCGTTTCTTCTAGGTGACCATGGCTAGGAATCGAAGGGTTAAATTGCGTTTTCGACCTCAAGTGGAAAGCGTCTCCTCCTTTCTTTTTTTCCACACACTAAGCGATATACATTCCGGATAATACAATGTACGATACTGATCTTTTCAAAACTTCGATTATTCTCTCCCCGAGTAATCCGTAGGGTTAAATGCGGATCTAACCAAAGGAGGCTAAAACAATAACACGATGCCCACCTGCCACCTTTGATTGGAAGTGCGAAGAGACTCACTGAATTACCCCTGGGTTAATCCAGGCGTTCTCTAGCATGTCATCTGTGTGCTTCGGTGTGGTTTGTTCCTGTTGCTCCTTGGCTGGTACCCCAAAAAGTGAGATCTATGTACGCACCCTATATTTCAAAGGGGGTTTATCCAACAGATGCACAAGTGAACGCTGAACTGAAGACATGAGAGGCGCTGAGCATGGTAACTCTGGATTTTAACGATCAAACAAGATTTCCTAACGAAGCTAGGCGCAACTCTTCAATTCATGGTGGTATCCAGATGATCTGCATCTGTCATGGCAGTCGATAGATTATTGTCATGTACGCTACCAGGTCCCTACAAAAGAATTCCCATGTGAATCAACCCTATTTCACGAAGAAGTTAAGGTGTGAGTTCAGTTGGGGTTAGATGTTCGTGTACATTTATGCACTGTGACTACGTTTTTCTCAATTCTTGGGATAGCCAACCTCTGAGAATCTCCAGGGAGGCCCAGCGGCCTCTCAGGGGTCAAGTTAAGACAAATTCCTCTGTTCATTCCGTCTAAACTTGGGAATCCTCGGTTCGCAACCATGAGGTTCTCCATTATTCCCCCATACCTGTGGACATAATAGTTACTCTACCTCATGTGATTATCCAATTTCCAGTGCCGATGGTTTGACTATCTTCAGATCGCCCTAATGTAGGGCAACGTCTTGGCAGCCTTAGCCGCTTCCTATCAGCCACGCCGATGCGCCAAGCCTGCGATGTCGTCCCCCGCCATCGCCAATAAACATGAGGCTGGGGCCCAATCAGGAAATATTCCCAACCTGCCTGGAGCCTGCATCTTCTATCTCATTGTCACTCGGATTCATCTCCTGCTTGCTAATCTGTACTTTGGTCTTTCGCTCTCCCTTCATTTCTGCTCTGTGACTATCTATTAGTACTCATTCCATTTACATATCTACAACTGCTTAGTTAACTACTTCAATTGCCTCTAACACGGCGATTATCTTATATCTGCTAGTATATTCGCAGTTTGATTCTACCTTCAGTCTCACCTCACCGACTCTCTTCCCACAAACGAGCCTGAGAAACTGCTACTACATACGAAACGAACCGTTGACTATATAATCGCACTTTTGTCTTTCATGGTCGATATCATTTAGTCAAAATATGGCACCCTTGCCGTTATTCAGAGCTACCTCAGGCAGCCTCCAAAACTTCGCCCGAAACATTGCAGAGCTAGCCCTCCCTCGACCAGCAAAAACGAAATCCCCTATCATCCCACGCATGCTTTCTCAGCTACCTCCCTCAGTAG